GAAATGAGAAGGTGAAAAACTTGGAATCCTTCAACAACTGCATGTTGCACTGGGTGATTAATAACATGTTTTTGAATGTGGCAAACCAGTGTGTGGGACCAGGCGCAAGTTCAGACTGAGAAAGCAGTAAAAGAACAAAGAACAACACAGCACAAGACCAAGACCTTTGGCCCTCCAAGCCTGTGCCAACACATTTTGCCCTTCCACATTAAAACTGTCTTCACTTAGAGAATCTGTATCCCTCTATTCCATTCCTATTTACGTATTTGTCCAATTGTCTCTTGAATGCTGCTGTTATGTCTGCTTCCACCACCTCCTCTGGCAGCACATTCCAGGCACTCACCACCCTTTGTGTGAAAAGCATGCCTCGCTCATCTCTTTGAAACATTCCCCACCTCGCATGTTGAACCTATGTCCCCTAGTAATTGACCCCTCCACCCTGGGAAAAAGCCTCATACTTTCCACTCTATGTATGCCATTCACAATCTTATAAATTTCTATCAGGTTGACCCTTCAACCTCCTGCATCTCAGTGAAAACAAACCCAGTCTATCTGACCTTTCTTCATAGCTAAAATCCCCCATACCAAGCAACATCCTGGTGAACCTTTTCTGTACCCTCTCCAAAACATCCACATCTTCTGGTACTTTGGTGACCAGAACTGTACACAATATTCCAAATGTGGTCCAACTAAAGTTCTATATATCTGCAGCATAACTTGTCTATCCTCATACTCAATGCCCCTTCCAATGGAGGCAAGCATGCCATAGGCCTTTTTTACCACCCTATCTACCTCTAAAAGCTACTTAAGCTGAAATCCACAATTTGCAATAACTTGTATTCTCATGGTACATTTCAGGTCATAAAACACTGAAAGTCACTTTACAGGAATGTTATTAAACAAAATTTAACACTAAGCTGCATGAGAGGTTATGAGAACATACCACCCTCTGTGCTCAAAGAAATGTGCTTTATCAAAGAATTTGGAGTCTCAGCAGTTTAAAGCAGACCCAATGGCGGATTAAATTCAGGAATGTTCAAAAATGCAGAACAGGAATAATGCAGGATCGTAAGGGATAGGGACATTTGAGATAGGGAAAGGCCAGATTTGTCCAGATGCTGAACTCAGCTACAGTCTTGGACTCAATTTTATTTCAGTCCAATGCAAAATTTCCCATCCCATGGAAATCCTTGCAGGAGAAATGCTCGACTGAATTGCTTCTTAAACATTTGTCTCACCTACAAGATCTGCAGATGGAATATACCTGCAAACGACTTAGCAGTCCTGCCCTTTCTCCTTTCACTTGCCAACAGTATAAAAACACAAAAACTGAAGGAATGCACTGCTTTCAACAAGACACCAATCAATATTATCTGATGCTATGCTTGAGAGGCTAATTCTCAGGTCAAACAACAGGTTCAGCTACTTCCTGTCCTTTGATTTCAGCCCCAAAAGTGTTCCAGATCCAATCTCATGGTTGTATACTTAAATAGTGACATGAATCCTGCTTAGAAAATTACATGATTTATGTCATGTATGCTGAAGCCATTGTGTGTGTGGTGCCCATGAGTGATCAGAATTAGGGCTCTGCCTGGTTTCATCTTTCAAGCGACCTTAGTCATTGCACTGCATGTCAGCAATTTGCACTTTTAGACCAGACCAAAGATCACCTGGAGAATTGTCTCAAGTGGTTGACCAAACTCAGAGAACCATTGCTCTCTACAATGCTGAAGCATAAACCCACATCCGCATGTCCATGAATTCAGGAGCTCATTTATACTGAGAGAAATGTTGTCCTATGTGAAACAAAAAAAGTGAGTTGACTTGGAGATGGAGTGAGATATTTTTCTCAAAGCTGCTGATGAAACACGAATTCATGGCAGAAATGGTGCAGAAAAGTTTTGGAATTTTGATGCTTCTTCCAACAGTCTATCAGAGAAATCTCTCTTTCTGCAGATGCTGCTGGTGTGCTAAGTATTTTCATTGTTTCCGTTTTTATTTCAGAATTCCAGCACATGTACAATTTTGGTGTTGCCTAAGAAGATGGCATCTATCAAATCAAATATTTTGTCTATAAAGATAAATCATTCTTTAAAATCTAAAATTATTCACAGTATTTCACTTAATTCATTGCTGTTTGCACTCTGAAAAGAGACAAACTAGGAATTAAATGAATGAGAAATTAAAAACGGGAGGAGAAATGGTGGAAAACTTCTAATTTCCAGAAGCAAATTATTCAACGTACAGTCAAGTCATGCAGATTTAATATGGAAGATTGTTAGTTTCTATCTGAGCTACAGATGATGCTCTCAAAACAAGGAATGCCTAAACCTAAACTTGCTGATGAATGCACTTGGTTAAGTTTGCTGTGTCTCCCTGAGCAGCACTCTTGCCACTCGACTCAGAAGTTTGATTGTTCACTCCATGGTATGGTCACCAATACCTGGCACTCCTGATTCAGTATCAAGAAGTCCTTCACTACTAAAGTCAACAAAAAAAATTGCTTTTGCTTCTATTTGCTATTTGTTCTCTATTTCCTATTCATGGAATTACGTAGAATCTTGAATTTCAATTACATGCTACATACACATTTTCACATAGAAGTGCCAATTTTGAGCTGTATTGGGAATGAGATGAAAACATTGGCAGAAAATAAAGTGGAGAAAACATTTAAAGAAACAATTTGAATTGTTCAAACAAAAAAAACACCCATAAAGTCATCAAAAAAAGTTCAGACTGCAGTTAACAAAGCAGTTATGGATAGTTTGGTTCAGAAGTTTTTAATGTTGCAAGAAACCATACTAAACCTGAAGATTGGAAGTACTTTTGAAACTAAAAGCCAGAAATCATTGATAAAAATGAAAAAAAAAGTCTGAGAATAAACTGGCAAAGATTGTAGGAGGTTTCACTGTACCAAAAAATGAAGAGAGAAGCTAAACTAAACGTGGGTTCCGAAGAAATTGTAACAAGGAAAGTCTCATGGGAAATGAGGAAATGGCAGAGACATTGAACAAATAGTTTGTGTCTGTTTTCACAACAGAAGACAAGTTACATGCGATAAATAGAAGGGAACCAAGGGAATAAATGAATAAGAAAGTTATTATTACCATGAAAACAAGGTACAACAATCCAACAAATCTCTTGGACCTCATGGCTGACATATCATATTTATAAGGAGGCAGCTGCAGGCAAGATGAATGTACTGAGGATGTTTTCCCAAAATTTCAACACAATCTCAGCAGTTTGGAAGTTCACAAAGCGAACAAAACCATTGTTGAAATGAAGGAAAGAGAAACAGCAAACAGAAGGCCAATTTGTCTAACATGATTCATTGGGAACATGCTGGTATCTAACACTGAAGAAGTCTTAAGAGTGCATGAAGAAAATTATTGGACAATCAGACAAAGTCAACATGGTTTTACTGAAGGAAAACCATGTTTTCTGATTTTATTAGTCTTTTCTAAAATTCACAACTAGTATGGTAGTCAGAGGGAATAACTATATGTAATGTATTTGAATTTCCAAAAGGAATTCAATGAGCTGCCATCTGAAAGGGTAATATAGCAAGCACAATTTTATTGAGTTGCAGAAGATGTTAGCATGAGCAGACAAACAATTAACATCCATGAAACAGAGAGTAGAACAAGCTGTGAGCATTGGAAGGCTACAAGGGTCAATGCTGGGATTTGCAAACTATACTGATGACTTAGACGAAGAGACAGAAGTAATCTACCAACGTTTGCTAAAGATAAAATGCAAGTTAGAAATTCAAGCTGTGGGCAGGGTACAAAGTAGCTTCAAAAACAATGAGACAGATTAAACAGTGGTGATTAGAGGAATGATGTGGGGACATAAAGCTTTTTCACTTCTGTCCAAAAAAATGGAAGAGGATAATATAGTTTACAAGATGTGAAGTCTGTTAATGTTGATGTTCAGAGTGACTTGGATGCACATTCAGAGAGAGCAGAAAGAATTAGCATGTAGGTATGGCATGCAATTTGGAAAGCAAAAGTCACATTGGCTTTCATAGCAAGGGAATCGAAAGACAACAATGAAGGAGTTTTGCACAAATTGTATGGGACATTGGTATACCGCACCTTGCATAGTGTGTGTACTTTAGGCTGACATATTTAAGGAAGGCAGTGAAAAATCACTGGACTGGTCTCTGGGATCAGAGGGATGTCATATGATAAGAAGCTGAATAAATTAGATCTTCATTCCCTAGAAGTGAGAAGGAGAGGCGATTTCATTGAAACATTCAATTTGAAGGAACTTACAGTGGAGATATCAATAGGTGTTTTCCCTAGTTGGGTACTGAAAACATGTCACGGTAGAAAGGGAAAACTGAAATAAGGAGAAATTTATTCTTTCAAAGGGCTGTGAATCTTTGGAATACTCTCTCCAAGAATGGTGCGAATGATCCATCATTGAATGCACCTGAGGCTATAACCAACATATTTTTGGTCTTTGGGAAACAAGGGATATAGGGAGCAGGCATCAAAGTGGACTTGGAGCTGAAGAACAGCCATCATTACAATGCATGGCAGTACAGAACTGGGAAGTCATATTGTCTTGCTGTTGTTTCTTAGGTCCTTATGTTTGGGAACATCCAATTTGCTGTATGGCTACACAGCTTAGAGGGGACACTGAAATGGCCATCAGGTGTTAAATGGACCGTCCTGTCTATTCCTTCTATAGCATTTTTTCCAAGAAGACGAGGAGTGTTTGAGTCAGTATTTATTCCTCTGTCAATATCATGAAAAATAAACTGCTGTTTGAGGTAGCTTGCTATACATAAACTGTCATATTTCTAACAATATGACAATAACATCTCAAAAGTATTTAGTTGTGAAGCCTTTGGGATGTCCTGAGGTTTTTAAAGATGATATATGCACAAAACATTCGTGTTTAGTTGTTAAAAAAGGAGCAGTGTTATCAAAGGCATTTGAAACCCAGCCATGAACTCAGTTGGGAGAAAATGCAAAATACAACGAAGGTAAAACTAATTCTAAGCATTTATTGCATCTGATCCTGAATACATTGTCTCAGAAGCAAGAGACTCGCAATGGGAAGAGGGTCAGGTGTCTAAAAAAGCTCCAATCTCTCAGAAGGTGACACTTCATCGTCTCTTGAATATTTCCTGGCAAGGTCCTCTCCTGAATGCAAAACATCGCTTGTCCCCCTTGGGGTGCAGATTTGCCAATCCACGAATACTGCCCTGGGCAATCAGCACACCCTGTGCAGGACTGGAAGGAAGAAATTTGCTGTCACAACTCTCTAACCCAAGTGATATTTGTTCCTTTTCTTCAGACCGCGAGTGCAGGTTGGGTTCCAGTGCTTCCAGCTTGACTCACAGCTATTTCTGTAGATCTGCACGTCATCAATTGCAGCATCGCTCCGATAGCTCGGTCCCAGCACACCTTCAATAATCACCTGAACAGACAAAAACAAGTCAGGTCTGCCTACAGTAAAATATCAATTAAAGGTAACAGATGTTAAAGGCCCCTTGAGGCAATTGCTTCATCTCGACAAATGAACAGAGAAAAAAACACATGACATAACAAGAAGGATTCAGGCCATTTGGCTCAACCAGGCCCTGGATATCCTTCTTGTGAACACAGCCCTCTTCAGTTATCCACCCTAGTCCAACGTTTCCTTCAAACATCTTTCCAATTAAACAGTGATTTTGTTTCTGCATCAAGTAAGTCTAGAAGTGAATTCAAACACCTCATGATTCTCCGTGTCCCTGAACTGTATTCTGAATTTAATTTTTTCTAGAATTTAACATGGTTTGGGGTGGGTGAAGGTAAGTGTTTAACCATTATAGTCTTGGCACCATGGCATCAGGCGGGTTTGATGGACCGTCACATCTTTTTCCTCTCACCATCACACAATAGGCACAATATTCCCGTTCTTGGAGGTAACAAGATAGACGACAAGAAAGGGAAAGAAATGGGCGATGTGGCCCTTGAGTGATACTTACCCCGTTCTCACAAACTCACCAATTTAGTTTTGGCACAAAGGTTCAGTGGGACTTGTTCAGCCTGCCACCAACCAAAGCCCTTTAAGTGGTCAATTAATGGCCTCTTAGGGGCCTCAATTAGTCATCTTCCCAATAACCTGCCTTCCAGGCAGATGGGAAAGCTTGACAAGCTATAGGGAGACACTGAATAGGCTGGGACTATTTTCCCTGGAGCGTTGGAGGCTGAGGGGTGACTATGTAAAGGTTTATAACATCATCAGAGACATGGATAGGGTGAATAGCCAAGGTCCTTTTTCCCAGGGTAAGCAGGGTGTTAGGGAGAGGAGTTCAAGCCCCTCTGATAATTAGAACTGATATAACCTGCCTTTCACCTCCCAATCAGTTATAAAGGAGAGGTTAAATGAAATGAAATCCTTTCACTCAATCTATAAGCAACGAGTAATAATTTATCCAACTCTAACAGTGAACAAATTAACAAAACTACTAATGAACCAAACAATTCCACCTTAACTACTAACTATTCCCAAATATAACAAAATTCTAATGGTATGCTGTTCCAAGTCCCAATTATATAAACCAAACTAAAATAAAAATTAAAACTTAATCTCTCAAATTATAGCCAAGATAAATCTTCCGGAATGTTCTTTGCCTTCTCTGCTGATCCTCGGCCAGGGACACTTTTCTCCGTCGAATTCTGGTGTCTGAAACACCTCTCTCTGTCGAATTCTGATGTCAGGAATATTAGCTAAGAGTGCCGTGGTACCTTTTAGATGGTGCTCGATCAGAAAGCTTAAAGATTTCTATGACAGCCAGAGTTCTACTCTTCTGATGCTAGCTCACTGTCACCCTGATGTTCAAAAAACCTTCTTCTTAGGATTGGTCTTAGGTTGTGAACACCCATCAGATTTGAACTCAATTGATTTTCAGTCTCCAAGTGCCTGGTATAAATTAATTGGCTAATATTGAAGCTAGTTGCCTTATCATCAAAACAAGCCCAGGTTTCCAACCACACAGCCAATTGATACATATGTTTCAATTTCAGGACTGTCTGCACATCTACAGCTGCTTGCAGACATTTTTGAAAATTGAACGTTGGTGCCCTCGAGGTTGACCAGTCGCAGTGCAGAAATGTCTGCAAGCTGAGAAAAGCACATCACCTCTTACAAACAATTTCTAACTTGCTGTCTCCCAATTCACAAGTACTTTACACAACTTCGCAACAAGGGCATACGTGTAAAGTGAGAGGGGAAGGACTTAAAAAGTGACCTACGGGCCAACTTTTTCAAGCAGAGGGTGGTGCGTGTATGGAATGAAGTACAGAGGAAGTGGTGAAGGCTGGTACAATTACATTTAAAAGGCATCTGGATGGGTACATGAATAGGAAGGGTTTAGAGGGATATGGGCCAAATGCTGGCAAATGGGACTAGATTAATTGAGGATATCTGGTCGGCATGGACGAGTCGGATCAAAGGGTCTGTTTCCACGCTGTCCCACTCTATGACAGTTTCCTTACAAGGAAATCACGGCTGCCTGTGCACTGGTTTCATGAAGTGAGGGGCTCTAATTGCCCCAGTTGGGGGTAATCAGAAGCCATGGATGGGCGTGGATCAAGGAGCTGGATTCGGAAAGCGACCTATTGTCCTCTCACTGCAAAGATGGTCTGTTGGTGGTAATTGTCCTGCATCATGAGCAGCCATCCTGATCAGCATAAAGTCCTCGTGGATTGGTTATTGTCCAGCACATTTTGTACCCATCTGTTCAAAAAGAAGCACCAAAGAACTTCTTCTAAGTATTTAAACCGCCTTTGCCTGCCTGAGAGGCTCACGGCCATTCTGTAAGGAATGCAAACTTCTCTTGCAACCCCACCAGGAAAATTGAACGTTGGTGCCCTCGAGGTTGACCAGTCGCAGTGCAGAAATGTACAAGAGATGTTTCAGAGTCAGTAAGTCCAGCTGCCCCCTCAGACAAATCAAGCTTAAATTTGGTTCAAGGCCAGCAAAATATTAAATGATTTGCCAACTGGCCCCCACCACCCCCCTCCCCATACCAATGTGTTGCAAAATGCTTTGCATTCATGGGTATCTAGAATTCCACTCTCAAATGCTGGCACCTAATCCACAAACAGCAATCACATAAACATCCAGTGAGCAGGTAGATGCTTCAGGATAAATTAAAATATTCACTCAGCCTTCATTGCACCTACATCACCAGTGCACTCCATAGCACAGTCCTCGGCTGACAGTAAAAACAACGTATGCTGGTTGGTTTAACTACTTCTTTAGAGTGAACTTTTGCATTGGTTTATTTCTTCAGCAGTTTGTACTTTGATGCAAACCATATTTTGACTTACTCGGAACTTGGCCCCGTCAGTGAAAATATCAATCACAGCATTCAGCCACTTCCGGCCTTGGTTTCCAGAGACAGACCACAGCTTGTGCCAGGAAGTTGACTGTTCGTATTTCAGGAATACATTTAAGGAACCTGCAAGAAAGTGGATTTGGGCAGTCCATCAGCAGGTCCAATTTTCAACTGTTTTTTACTTAGTAAACCCCTTGTGGTGCCCTGATTAAAAGGTTTCCAGAAAGAGACTGTAATTTGCAGTTGAATAGGTGGGATCAAAAGTAAATCTAAGATCACACCACTGTTTTCCTACAAGTGAGCAGTATCTTTCTGCCTTTCGTGATCTTTGCTCATGTTCAGTCCTGTTATGCCTCACCCTCAAGGAGCAATGTGGGCTGAAGCGTAACGGAAACCAGGAGTTCCTGCTCTTGCTCCATACTCGAACCCCTCCTCAATGCCCTTGACACATCAAAAGCACCATTTAGGTACATACACTGCCTCTCAACCTCCCGCCTCTGCTTTCTTCATGCATTGCCCATCACCAAATTTCAGAGTTAGAAATGGCAGTTTTATTGATGTCTTTGTTCTATTTCTGGCAAGAGGTTAAATCAGTCAGGTTCTGTGCAAATTACAGGTTATGACTGGAGTCTGCTGCTAGGACCCTCACAACTTACCCATGTGTTTCCCAAACATATTGTACCAGAACGTTAGGCACTTCTGCCCTCTCAGTGGAGGGCTGATGAGTGTTGCCTGTTCCCCACTCTGCTGAGGAAATGAACCTTCCAGGTACAGATAGTGACCTGCATTGAAGAAAAATTGGTCAAACAAACCATCTGATCACCAGAACCATCAAAACCAGAAATACGCAGCATCACTAAACAAAAATCTATTGCGATTGAGAATCTTTATGTAATTCCGGACATTTCCAAATTTACATGTTCTTGGTACGAATTCTGAATGTATACTCTCAAACAACAAAGAATTTTGAGCCCCACCGTCATAAGTTGTCCTTTGGTTACTCTGTTCCGTTGAGCATATCCCACACCACTCAACATGACTTAATCCTTCCATTCCTACTTTCAACCTTGTGAGTCCACAAAGACTTTTTCCCAGTGGTTCTGAACAACCTTCTGTGCAGGGACCCAAACTGCCCACTGCCTAACAATCAACAATTCAATCACACTCCAATACAGAGGATATCTGGTCAGCATGGACAGGTTCGACTGAAGGGTCTGTTTCCATGCTGTACATCTCTACGAGAAGTCTCATGGTTACGTCACTAGACTCAGAATCCAAAGACTAGATGACTAAATCGTAGGTATGAGTTCCATCATTTTGTGAACTGAAGTTAAAGCAGAGAAAGTGCTGGAGAAACTCAGCAGGTCTGGCAACATTTGTGAAGACAGAAACAGAGTTGACATTTCAAGTCTGATATAATTTTCTTGCAGATGCGGCCAGACCTGCTGCATTTCTCCAGAATTTTTTTGTGTTTGTTTAAGATTTCCAGCATCCTCAGAATTTGGTTTTATGTGAACTGAAACCTACTGAATTCAATATTGGAATAAAAAGTTACCATCAGCAAAAATAATCGCAACTGGATTGATGTAAAATCCATTGGTTCACTCATTCTTGATGGAAGGGGAAATCGACTTCCATTCCAATCGGACCAACACACAACTCCCGACCCAAAGGACTGAAAAACTGATGGGAAGGCTGCACACATAAATGACCACTTTCGTAGCAATGTCCACATCCTTTGAATTGTGAAATAATTTTTAAAATGTTTCACAGGAGAAAAAACACTTCAAAACAAATGTGACATTCCACCTTCTAAATGTTCATACATCTTATTCCAAATTTACATATTCTGGTCTTCTTTTCTTTCTATAGTCTCTATCTTGGGGGGGAAAAAAACGCTGTCCCATGCTTCCTTCTCTGCTGTCATATGAATGGCTCAAAACACATTCGATTTTCCCTTACCTCCTTGGACTTTGCACTGGCCTTTCGTATGGTCACGTTTTGGTCCTGTCTCTCTTGAGGCTGTTTGGTACCGATGAAGCACCCAGTCAAAATCATCTGTTGTGGATTGTTCCCAGTCACATAGACCATGCTCAAAGTCACAAAACAGTTCCACATCAAGGTTGTCAGGCAACACTGACTGAGTGGGAGAAATCAAATGCACATCATACAAGGGATTAATTGCCACAGTTTTGTCCCATGTGGTCAAAGTAAATGGAGAAATTATTGTCTGGGTGGTTGTGGCACTGTTTACCACAAAGGAGACAGATGCTGGCAGCATCTCTGCAGAAGAGGCAGATGCTAATATGGTCTCGGTGGGGAGAATTGCTGCTGGCATAATGTCTGCTGAGGGAACTGACACTGGCAGAGTAGACACTGGCAGAGTAGACACTGGCAGAGTCTCTGCGGGGGGCGTGGACACTGGCAAAGTCTCTGCGGGGGGAGTGGACACTGGCAGAGTGTCTGTGGCAGGAGTGGCCATTGGCAGAGTCTCAGCGGGGGGAGTGGACACTGGCAGAGTCTC